AAGCACTCGTTCTTGTTTATTGCGTGCCACAACAACTGGTGTCATCAAGAGTTCCTTTGATGAAAGTACCTTCAATCTAAAAACTAAGAAAACATTGTCATACCTTCTGGAACAGGTTCTTTAAGTCCGTAAGACAATGCAAAACAGGCACTTACCTCAGGTTTCATGTGCCTTTCGACTACCTGTGAACTGAACTGTTTCAAGACAAAGTGCGGCTTGAAGGGTATGACGTACAGCTTCCAAATACGGTTGTCATGTGGCGCTCTGAATTATCTATCATCTATCATTTTCAGACTTTACAGAAATATCGGGTCGCAAAAAATTTTTCGGACTTTTTTTGTTTTTATTGATTGTTTTTCATAGATTTGAGTTTATGACTTTACTACCGTTTAGAGCAGCTTCTTGCGGTTATTTTGATGTATAAACATTTAGACATTTGTGTCCGAATGGGTTTATCCGAAGTGAGAAACGATTAATGATGCTAAACGAGTATCGTTGTGTGTTAAAGCAGCACTTGAACCTATGCAATACTCGTGTTGCATCGAGAATCGTTTAAGCTCTTAGGAAAATCCCATCTGCCAACATATAAGTGTTACTATCAGCATAACCGCAAGAAACTGCTCTGAACGATGGTAGAAATAAAAACTCAATTGCATGAAAAATAATTGATAAAAACGAAAAAGTCCAGAAAATTTCTTACCAGAATCACACGTCACACTTGCACGAGGAACTTCTAGCCTACCAACGATTTTTCAATATACACAAATGTTACAAAGAGTTCTTTCCGATTAGGAGTGAACAAATGAAAAACCGATCTCGTTTGCTGAGGAGGAGCTTTTCGTAAGAGTGCCAGCGACCATTCGAAAGCTGAGAGGATACACACCTACGCCGCCGGCCTTTCAAGCACTCCCTTATGACGCTATAGCATCGAAACCAAAAATTTGCTCTACCAAGCCTTTCGCCTCATTTTTATCAGGCACATAATTCATTGTGTGGCTGAGAAGCATATCAATGTGCAGAGAAATTTTCAAAGTATCATAGTCATTCGTTTGATCTAGAGTTTCTTTCAAAACGGAGAAGAAATTCGCAATTGATAAAGAAATAACAATCGTCGGGCACATACCAGGGCCATCGGCTTGTCGAATAGCCTATAAACAACGTTACTAAAATGTAAAACTATATCATATTTACCCTGCTAAACATATTTTCAGAAAAGGAGCACGTCGCTAGAATCAAGAAAATTTCGCTATCAAATGATTATTAAGTCTAAAGATAGAGCTCTGTCCCGCGAGGGTCAAAGCACAAATCAAAAGACCAGAGGAATTTAAAAGGTCAAGAGAGCGTTTCAAAAAGCAGACTTATTTTTGAGGTCCTTGGTAGCTTGTGCTATAGACTCCGAGGAAGGAATTTTGTCCAGCGAAATATAAGCTAAATAAGAGGAAAAACACGTGGTTTTACGAACAATGTCATTTTGAATGTTACTGTGTCATAAAAAGGTATTTTCGGAGATCGGCGACGCGAGGCTGTAGCCTCAAGTCTCAGAATGGTAGCAAACACTCCCATGAAAATGTCCTCTCCAACGAATGAGATCGATTTTTTCATTTGTTCCCTTCCCTTTCTCCTCAGAAAGAACCGTGAAAAGCTTTTGAAATCTGTCTGAAATTCTCAAAAAGACGCCATAATGGCACTTATGAAAACTTTTATTGACCACAAACATACCATGATTCGGCTATTCCTTTAAGCGATTCACCACTGAATTCAAGGAATTTGTCGAATATTCACCGGCGCCTGTAACGATCGAATACTTTGCTTGCAACGTAAAAAATGTGGCTCCTATGGAGATTTGTGGTCCCATCAACTTTTGAATGATTTCTTAAATTGATTTCTTCAGAGAAGAACATACGACAGCACGCTTAGGCTTAGAAAATTGATCAGATCACACCCTCCTCCCGCGTCAAAATTGTTAACAATAAGAGTGGGTTAACATGAAAAAAAAAACGACTGTCAAATGACAAAAACATCAACTCGACCAGTACTTTGAATAGTTCTGACGAAGATGATCGTTCTTAGAAATGCGATAAAGCACATGGACTTGTTAGTAAAGTGGAGTGGAACGAAAACAGATAAAAGAAAAGAAAGAAAAAAGAAAAAAAAAGAAAAGAAGAAGGAAAATCCCAAAAGAAAAAGATGACGATGTCACGTCAACTTGATGAGAGTATGATGAGACATAAAGAAATAATAATATTGTATTTCCACACGGAAACCACGCCCACAACAATTTGTGGATAGCGACAACCAAGAGAGAGAGAGAGAGAGAGCGAATGGAGATAAGGAGAGGAAGAGAGGGAGAGAGAGAGAAAGGAGAGAGGGAAAGGATGATGGGAAGAAAGGGAAGAGGGGAAGAGAGGAGGAAAAGAAAAGAGAGGAGGAGAGAGAGCAAGAGAGAAAAAGGAGAGAGGAAGAGATAGGATGACGAAGAGAGGGAGGAATAGACAGAGAGAGAAGTGGAAGAATCGATCGGAAGTATTAGTAGGCAAAGAGGATGAGGTGAGTAAGACCGAGAAAACATAGCAACGCTAACGGCGAGCGCCGACTTTGTTGTTTGACACATCGTCCACTGAAAATCTCCAGAGATGTTCTGTTTTCCTCACCCCTGATGGTGGTAAGTTCTGGTCAATACAGATTAGTGAGAACAGTATAAGTACAGTGCAGTGGTCAGCACGCGCCTCTGGATAGGCTGAGACGCAGGTTCGATCTCGTCAGAGGTCTGGATCTTTGCATCCGTCAACATTCTTCGATAAAGGTGGTCTTCTTTCTGATTATAAGGTAACAAATGAAAAACCAATCTCATTTGTTCTCGAGGAAACTTTTCGTATGAGTGTCAGTAATCATTCGAAAGCTGAGATTTCTGGCTGCAACCCTTCGCGACCGGGTTTTTAAAACACCCTTTTACAACGATTTCAGCATTGCAGAAAAAAAATCATGTTTCACACGACCACGTGTTTTTTTTTTTCTTTTCTCGCTTATATATCGCTGAGCAAAACTCCTTCCTTAGAATGCTAAAACTCATTCGATAGCAAAAGTTTCGAAGAGCTCATAAATATGTCTGCTCTTTGGAAAAAGCTCTCTTGACAGCGCTGCACAGAAGAAAAGATTTGTGCTGTATACCTCGCCAGGCAGAGCTCTCTTTGGACTAATAGCAATCAATCGATATCGTAAGTCCTAATGATTCAAACGCCATGCTTATTTTCTGGGAATACCGTCTGACAGGGAGAATCGATCAAGTTTTACATTTTTGGACGACCTTGTTAACCGGCTAATTCACGGGGCCGGAGGGGCGGGGCGATCGATCGCTTTCGAAATAATGTTGTTCTGTTGGGGATTTTTTCACCTTACGAACTTGAAAACTTAAACCTGAAAATGTAAAAACGCATGATTCTGATACTAAGGAAGATCCTCTGCGCGCTGATATGCTTTTCGTGCTTCCAGCGAATTATACGCATGTTAAATATGAGGACTAAACGAGAGTGTGGAACATGATTTTATTCTGGATTTTCACAGCGCTATAAAGGAGTGTTTTGAAAAACCGGCCACGTACTGCTCTAGCCAGAGATTTAAGCTTTCGAATGATTGCTAACACTTGTGGAAAGTTCTTGTTCAGCGAGACGAATCGGTTTTTGATCCCTGTGTTGCCTAACAGAAAAGCACCACAGTTTTCAAAGACCGTCAGCGCTTTTTATGAGTCCTCCACCGAGTTATTTGAAAGGAGATCGCTCTCAGAGAGATCGCATGGCTACGAATGCTCTTCTCATATCAGAATAACTGTCTTATGTACTGTTCGATGTCATACCTCGTATCTGGCTTCAATAAGAAACAAGGACATATTGATGAATATCGAGGTTAATGGATAGTCGGTCCTGGATATGGCTATCATCTTCCACTTTTCTTTATATTCGGTAATGTTGAGTAACACGCAAAATATTCAACCCAGAATTCTTTAGCTATACAAATTATTGGGCACCGTGGCCGAGCGGCTGTGGTGCTCGTAGTGTCGCGCCTGGTGCTGATCCCCACTCCCCATCACTCTTCGGCAGTCAGAAGCGAGCCCCACCCCTCCTTTCCCCCCCCCCTCCCCTTCCCCCCCCTCCCCTCAGAACGCCGCAGCCAGGCTATCCTCGAGATTGCAAGGAGAAGCGCTCAGTCAGTGTTTTGCGACGTTCAAGAAGAAGTTGCAAAGTCATTGAATGTTAGAAGTACTGGGATACGCACAGTGAGAAAAAAAACACTATGATGACAGATAGGAAAGTAAGGTAATAGGTTGTGTGTAAGGTCGTGCTGTTTTGGTTTTCTAATATCATTATTGCAATAAAATTACATGATTTTGGTATCTTTCAATTCCTCATTTTCCTACGAATATCTCAGTATACAAATTACCTATACGTGCTTCGAGATGGAGCTATTGTGAGAACAAACTCCTCTGCTACTCATGCACGAATAGCGCTTAGGGGAAAATGTTAGTAAAGCGGCGCACAAGATTAACCCTCTGTGGACCAGCGTTGGTAGGTAGGCGGTGACGTGCCGTCACTTGCGCGGCAGTCAGGCAAGAGGCCAGACAAGCGGCCTTGCATGCGTGTGAGTTCGTGTGTGGGTGTCCGCCTGCTTTTTCACAAGACGCAGCGCCGCCGTTACAGTGGCTGGGGAGATTTGACGTCGCGCGATGAGCATCAAAATGACTTTCATGATTCTGAAAGAGTTAATGGAGCCTGAGGCGATGATAGGGTTACACAAAGGTCTAAGTCTATAATCGAGGCACCGATATCTCACCCAAAAAGTTGCAGGAAGTTATTGAAGGTCGATAGAGATTACTATGATTATGAGTTTTGTCTTTTGTTCGGGACAAAGTATTACAAAAATCATATCCAGTAATGGTGATTGATGTGTACAATTTCACGTCAAGCGGGACTCAAGTGGTAGAGTTATAAAGAGTGGTGGCAAAACAGGCGTCGGTGGTACAACGGTTACAGCACGCCCCCCCCCGGAAAGGTGAAGTGCGAGTTCGAGTATCGCCTGACGTCTAACTTTTGCGGGCACTATTCGGAAAAGGAGAAACGAAAAACTGATTTCATTTGCTGGAGGGGAACTTTTCATAGGACTGTTAATAAGCACTCAAAAACTGAGCCTTCAGGCTACAGCCCCACGTCACCGACTTTCGAGAAAGCGTTTTTAGCGCATGTATCGTAGTGGTTAGAGCTGCTCTGCGTCAGACATAAAGTCGATGATTCGGACACGCAACCATGACTGTACCAAGCCATCCATCCCTTCGGGGTCGCTAAAGTGGTACCAAACTGGTCTCGGACTTGTTTGGAAGGATTAGCAACAATGACTCGGTACAGCGGGAGACCATCGCGAGTCATTCACAATGCCATATATACATTCAATCACCTTAAACGAAGTTAAGAAAACTGAAACGCCGAGAGCTCCAACGTGTTAATCTTTTCATTGCAAAAATCATATCAAAAACTCGAAGCAGCACTACCACCTTCTAATAACGGCCCATCAAAATACAGAAGTATAATCAGGGTCAAATATTTCGTCTACGGCTTGTAGCATCCCGCGTCTGACTAACGATTTTATGCTTAGCATTCAGAGTTGTACTGTGACGGTTTTCAATATTCGGCCGATGATCGGTAGCATTCTTGTGTTCTGACTAATGTTCCATTATTGAATATTAAGTAGTATAGTCAAATTTTCAAATTCCATCTCTTGTTTATGGAAGTCATGTCCTTGAAATAACACTGATGATAATGAAATAGCGTTGAGTCAAGCAGCATTCTTTCACTTTTGTCCCAAATATAGGCTTAACCAAACCAGACGTAGTGGAGTCGTGTCAACGCTCCCACTTCGCTCAACGACATTCAACTCTCTCTTCCTCTTTGTTCTCCATTTTTCTTTTCGTGGATAAATCTATCTACATCGACCGTGTTCCACATCTAGACAGAGACGATCGATCAGAATCATAAACATTCAGGAGTTGAACCCGCGTTTCACTCATCTCAGGGTCGCGTAACATCACCACACCACACCGCTGAGGCCATAACCTTGCTACCACTCTTTTTTTCTGACACTACTAAAAAGCTGTAAGCAAAAAATCCTCATGGATTATTCACATCCAGTAGCTTCCAGCTCAGATGGGTTTAAAGCCGACAAATGTTCACTCTATTAAACCCATTAAAAGTTGGTTGCTGGCAGCTATGATGTGATGTGCCTTTAAGGACCATGAGAGTCATTTTGCTTCTCACTGCGCAACATTGAAGCTCACTCAGGTACTGTGATGGCGGCGTCTTGTCTCGTGGAAAGGCAGGCGGACAGCCAGACATGCTTGCACAGGTAATGGCAGCGTTGCATCTTGTCAGAAAGCGACGGCGAGACGCCACGTGCCTATCAACGCTGGTCCTCAAAGCGATATATTTGATCGTTCCATAAATTTTGGCACTAAAGCATAGACAAAAATTTCACAACAGTTTAAAATAAACAAAATCAACCCGAAGTATCTAAAAATGCGTAATTCTAATACCGTTCAATTGCGCATTTTCTTGCGAAAATTTTGATATGCAGCTTGCCTATACTCGCTTCAAGATGGAGCTATAGTGGAAATAACTTCGCTGGCTATTCATGCACGAATGTCGCATAAGCGAAATGCTAGTGAGGCGGCACGAAAGATTAATGGAGCTGGTGATGATACGTTTGCAGAAAGGACGGCTAGGAAGTGCTTTAAGAAGTACAAAGCTGGAGATATTAGTCTAGAGGATCAGCCGCACTCGGGCTGTCCACGGGAAGCAATATGAATCTCGCGCGCTGCTTCACTAGCATTTCTCCCTACGCCATTGGCACATGAGTAGCAAGTGAATTGGCTCTCACTAGAGCCTCATATCGAAGTGAGTTGAGGCAAATTGTATCACCAAAATGTTTGCAAGAAAATGCGCAATTGAACTATACGCACGTGTCATGCAACTTCAAATGCTTCTCGATGAGAAGTTTGATGTTTATTGCTCTAATGTCAAAACTTATCGTACGACCTAATATCAACAAGGATTGGCAGCAAAGCATAATCTCGGTGGTGTAGTGGTAGCGCAAACTCCCTCTAAAAGCGGAACGTGGTTTCCTAATCTAGGATGGGGACGGATTTTTTGCATATCACTTAACATTTTGCACGTATAATTGCGAGATGGTGAGACTGCTAAAAAGCAGTGAAATCAAAATATTTTATATGTCACATCATTTTCTTTCGTTTTTTCCTCAGCTTAAATAACACTGTCAGTAAAATATTATTTTGGCAGAGAGTTTGTGCTTTGTGCTTAGTTACTGTAGTTATTGTGAAAGACATTAGATGATTATACTCTGCTGTAAACTGCTTAGAGTAAATATTTGTCGTTGATTCGGTCATGCTTCGATGACCCGTCTTCGCTAAGAACCGTGCAGCGGTATTGTCCCATTTCCTACCCAGCTAGGGAAACACTGGTTTCATTAGATTAGATTGGGGTTTGAAGAAACCACACATGAATGCGATTTCAAAAAATAACAGAAGAATCATGATGGTAATGTTGTGTGGTATTTCAGGCAATGGTGTTCTGTGGTTTTCATAATAAATTTTTGAGGTTATCTCAACTGAACTTAGAAGTCAAGATTTTGAGTTTCAAATACAGGATGAAAGCAAAGTGATGGTTTGGAGGTTTACAATAGATGACTTTTTTCCACGCTGGAATCCTTATTATGGTTAGTCATTATCTGAATACCTTGAGTCTGAAAGGATAAGACATCGAAAGTCAAACTAACGCTCGCAAAGTTGTAGGTTTTTTGCTTTTTCCTGATTTCTATTTTTGCTCGAGCACATCCGATTCAGTGATCGGAAGTGCCTTGTAATAGATCTGCGGTCTTTGATTTCATCCCCGCCGCGATGTTACCAAAAATTCGATCCTTAACTGCTCGGAAACTTGAAACCAGGTTTGTCTGGAATGACGGCAGCAGGCAGTGACTCGTACATCGGTGGGCCACCACAAGTCATTGTATAGGGTGGATACACAATTCTCACCTAAATTGATCTAATCAGAACCGATGAACGCAGAATGCTTGGTCCATTATGTTTTTTTTTGTATGGCAGAGCTTTTTCCAAAGACCGACTGTCTATTAACCTCGGCATGCTTCAATATAACTCTTAATTTTCTTCTTCAAGCCAAACACGAGGCATTACATCAGACTTCATTTGACAGCTGACGTTTCGACAGTTCGCCTTCTTCAGAGCCTGGAAAGGTCAAATTGTCCGCAATCCATCAAGCCTAACACCTTCATTGCTCCTTTAGAAGAAGTATACATTATCAGCATATTTATATTTACTGATTGGTTCCAGAGTTGTTTGCGAAGATAGCAGCAACACTGCCTGTCCGATTATATTATCAGCTTATGGTGCGTTGAATGTTCCGTCCCCGATTCTTCTATTTAGAAGTTATCTCCCCGCGGTCTGACTGCACTGAAGCTCACCCTGGAACAGACGAAGCTGTTACAGTATACCCAGTGATGTAGGGTGGTGTGCAAAAACTTTTGCGTCAGCTGGGATTCGAACCCAAATTCCACCTAACCCGGGGCGTGTGCTGAACCGTTGCACTACCAACGCCCGTTTCAAAACCAATCTTTTTGCGCTACAAGCGTTATCTCTCAGCAGCTAACCGTCAACGGTGTGGCGTGGATAGTCGCTATCGGCACTGAATCTACGTATGCTGCCAGATATTGGGTATTGATGATCAATCAGAATTCTTTTTAGTTGACAGCCTCTTGCGGGGGTATGATGTTACAATATGGCCAATGATGAGAGTGGTGTGCAAAAGCTTTTGCGTCAGATGGGATTCGAATCCAAATTTTAGCCTTTTTTTTACCCCACTACCCTACGTTTTGACAGATAACGCGTTGTAGCGTAGGAAGTGGTGTCAAGACGGGCATCGATAGTGTAACGGCTGAGCGCGCGCCTCTGGATAGGGTGAAATAAGCATCAAATTCCACCTGACGAGATGTTTTTGCACACCACTCTATATCACTGGGTATATTGTAACATCATACCATCGCAAGAGGCTGTCAAATAAAAGGAATGAAATGAAATAATCTGTGAACAAAATGAATTCTGACTGACAAAGCTGTACTGCCGAAATACATGCCTTGCGCTATATAAGTGCCATAATAGACCACATGCACTGCCTCACTAACCACTGCACTACCCGTTCCTCACCTGCACGATCTAAAAAAAAGCTGAATTTTAGTTAACCGGTAGTTTCAATTAGCAACTAAACAACGATTTATTCATGAATTAGCTCCGATCATAGATAAAGTTCGAATTAATATAAGATTATAGCAAGTGTTAAAATGGGATAAAACACAAAGTTATATGGAATAACACACGAACTATGAGAAGATCGAGTCAAAATACAGTTGAAGAATACAAAAACTGATAAACTGCATGCATAATCGAAGTTCGTCTACCAATTTTGCAACTTCCGGACTAAATGAATATCATTCGTCATTAAAGTTACGCGCCTCGCGTGAAGGGCGCAAGTAGATCCATCATTGAGAACACGAACTAGAAATGCTTCGCAAGCCTGCAAGCATCAAAAGTTTGATATCACTTATACGACCATGACTGTGATAGCAAAAACGGTACTTTTCGGTTTTGAGGGAACAAATGCATTCTGGACCTCATTCGCTGTACAGAGGTTTTTCATAAGAATGTTAGTAATCATTCAAAAACTTGAATCTTTGGCTAACGCATCACGTGGCCGCTTTTTCGAAACATCTCTTTGTAACGCTGTAGAACCCAAGATAAAATAAGGTTCCACACGACCCACGCTTTTTTTCTTCTTATCTCTCTAATATTTCGCTGGACAAAACTTCTTATTAGGATACTAGTACTCTTTCGATAGCACAAGTCTCGAACAACTCCAAAATGTAATTGATTTTCGGAAAAGCTTGTTAGCAGCGCTGTAGAGAAAGAAAACAATTGTGTGCCTCACCTCGCCGGACACAGCTCTTTCTTTAGACTATTATTAATCATCAAATTGTAAGCTCCAATGATTCCAACGCTAGGCTTAATTTGTGGAAAGACCGATTCACAGCAGTTTAGCAGGGAGAACAAGATCAAGTTCCACATATTGGCGCGCTTTTTACCGCCTCATCTAGGCGTTGGTGCGGAACGATCGGTCAACGCCCGACGGATTAGACATGCCGAGTGCAGCTTGTTATTCAACTGGGAATTTTTTCTTCGCTACGTGTAAATTCCGGATAAAATAGTGGATTCAGATACTACGAGATTTCTTCTACATGTTCATATGCTTTTCGTGCTTCCAGCGACTTATAACGTGAAAAAAATGAAGGCGCCCGGCTGATGTAAAACATAAAATTATTTTGATTTAGACAGCGCTATAAAAGGGTTTTTTGAAAAACCGGCCACTTAAGCTTTCAAATAATTGTTAACACTCCTGTGGAAGATTCTTGCAGCAAATGAGGTCTAATATGCATGTGCTCCCTTATAACCAAAAAGTCTCAAGAAAAACACTGACTGATTGAGTTTGAAGGCAATTCCTCAAGAGTTTGTGCATGATGTGCAAGCACTCCATATCATTGTTTTTCATAGGCAACTATTTTAGAGCAACAATTTTTCAGAAAACAAGATGGGGACATAGAATGAGCGAAAACTACTCCGAACGGGAAGGGAAGAGTCAGTGACAAGGAGGACACGATCATTTCTCAGTGTATCATATAATTGAACTCCTCAAGAACATACCTCGTGAACGGCATCGAGCGCATCTGCCGTGAATCGGTACTCCAGATCCGGATACAGATCCGTCACTACTTCTCGAATGACACGTTGTAGTGGTCTCTGGATAAATAAGAAGATAAAGCTCTCTGGATATTGATGTTTAAGTGTAAGTAAACATCAAGTAACAACAGTACCTTTGGCACTAAAAGCTTTGTGGAGCTTTGGTATCTTTTGATTTCTTGAAGTGCTCGAGCTCCGGCTCGATAACGAAACCTTCGTGCTCGCGTACCAGTGCTTGAGCGATTACCATACCTCGGCACACCACCGAAAAATGAGTTTCTCATGCTAAGTAAACCAATGTCTTTGTCAACTAATCATCTTAACACTTTGAGAAAGAGCAGGCAGACAGCCAGACATGCACATGCCGCCTGCCTGCGACTGCCGCGCAAGCGACGGCGCGACGTCGCCTGCCGATCAACGGTGGCCCTCGAAGGGTTAAAGAAGTGAGAAACAAAAAATTGGAAAAAAAAAATCGAATCTGCATTACATTAGATAAAATAAAGTCAATAACGCACCAGAACGGATAGAACCGCGGCGCTGTAATGGCACTGCATCAACATCATGCCCACTATGATTTCCATTACTGAGTAAACCTGCACTGACACGATCCACATTGCGACTAAAAACACTTTCACTCTCATTGTCACCATTAGTTATGTGCTCTGCGATGCCACTTCTAACTCTTAATAAAACCTCTTCCTCACTAAGCTTTTATTGCTTTCGTATTCAAAATATAGAAGACTCACAGAAGCATACTTTTACACAAACTAGAGGTAAAAAAGCTTCACGTCTCAAAGTGACAGGTGCGTAATGAGTATATGTTAAGCTACCCACCTATGACCAAGAATATTTTCCATTTGCACTCGCGAGTGGAGACCATGACGATCCCTCAAGACCTCATTTCTCATGACAATGGGCGATTGCAGAGTTGAAACTCGAGGACTTCAAAGCAACAATACAAGAGACGAGTTTCTATTGCGAAGAAAGGTTGAAGAAAAACAAAAATCTACCTTTCCATCTTACTTGAGTTGTACTGCTCAGTCATGTACTCATTAACCTGTTGTCTTTTTAATGGCATGCGATGATCCCAGTTGACGCTCGCATCATTCCTTGAAGCATAAGAATAGGAAGACAATCACTTTTCACAAAAAAAAAAAATCAAGATTATAAAGCAATTCTCACACGATATCTCAATAAACAGACTGTTCCATGAAAAAATCACTCAAAGTATCGACACTTACGAAAACGTGGACCCATGGCCCCTGTATCTCTAACTGGCAACGCTGGACGGTCTGCTCCACCTTCTGCATCTCCAACCCACGTGCCACTGTTAGACGCAGAACGCTAGAGGCTAGAGAAGAGGGGGAGGTGAAGCAATGGCTCACAGTTGCCAGCTAGAGATGCAGAGGCCGTGCGTCCATGGTCCCGAAAGGGTTGAACTCTACCACATGCCCCTGTCAGTTTCCGTTGAAAGATCATTTCTGCGATGCTCGCAGCAGAACAACAAGACGGCACGAGTACAATGGAAAAACTGATATCTAATGGTAATTTGACAAACTAAACACATGTTCTGCAGGAATCTGCTTCACACCACACCGAAAATAATTACAAACACTGTGTTCGAAAAGCACAACACCAGGGTAGGGCATGGACCGCGCAAGAAACCATGAAATGCTCGATTATTTTACCTATAGGGAACGATTGAAAGACCATTTAATTCTTGATAAACGTCACATAGAAGCACGCCTATTTCGTAAGTAATTTTTGATTCAAACGACTCGTCTTCAGTCCTTTGCGGATGTCAGCACACTCTAAGGATTTCAGACTTTTCGCGTAAATAATTGGTGCTTCTCAAGGAGTGCTTCCTTCATTATAAAGTTCACCTATAGCGTTCCCACTTGGACTGTAGGAACCGAAGTGTTAACATAATCTTCTGAATTAACTTGCAGCTCTGGACGGATGAGGAATTTTGCGAGTACAGAGTGGACTAGAACCAACAAGGTGCTCATGGTAACGTCATCACTGTCACAGCATCACCCTCGTCCGAGTCATCCATTTTAAAATTTGTTGAATTACACTGCTGATAATGTTTTCAATACCAGTTCCGCCTCACCGCCACATAGATCAGCTTCAAAATGTACGGCTGAAACGAAGGAGCGCAATATATTTCAAGGCTGAAAGGTATTTGTATGCCCCAACTGAAATAAACATAATCAACAAAAGAAAAAAGTATGTAAGACATGGCGATAGCAAAACTTGAAGATGTTCCAAACTTCAAACACCGGTAGATAAGCAATATAGGCTCTAAAATCCCATCACAAGGACGAAAAAACCCGTTCAAAAATCACTGACTTTCTATTTTCTCCTGGTCGAGCGAAGTCCTCATCGTCAGCCATGTACTCATCTCGCCCAGGTCCTCCATAGTTGATCGACCTCGAGCCTACTTGCTGATGGCCGTATTGCCTGCAACAGAGGACATTTGCTCCATTGGCTTCCTCAGAGGTGAAACTTTCTCCAGTTAGGAGGTCACAGTAGCTACGGCATAGATATTTGGGCAGGATTCAAAAAGTTGAGGAATAGGAGAACAATAGAAGCATCGAAAAATCGCCATGAAAACGAAAGCATCAAAATAAAAAATCACAGACCTCTGTTTTGGAGGCAGTACTGCATGGTTCTCTTCGTCCGACATGTACTCGTCTTGGCCTGGCTCACCAAAATCATTGGACCTCGAAACATTTTGCTGGTGGTCAAAGTGTTGGCTAAATTTGAAACATTCATCAGCAGAAAAATCTAGCTAACATAATTCACTT